TGGGAGCTCTGCTGTTCGTGGTCTACCTAAATGATTTGGAGGAAAAGTTGGCTAATTAGGAAGTTTGCAGACAATACAAAGATTGGTGATGTGGGGGATAGTAAGGAGGATTGTCAGAAGATACAGCAGGATATAGATCAGTTGGAAGCATGGGCTGAAAAATGGCAGATGGTGTTTAATCCGGACAAATGAGGTGATGCATTCTGAAAGGTCAAGTACAGGTAGAAATTATACAGTGAATGGCAAAACCCTTAGGAGTATTGGTATGCAGAGGGATCTGGGTGTGTAGGTCCACAGATCACTGAAGGTGGCAGCGCAGGTAGATAAGGTAGTTAAAAAAGACTTATGGCATGATTGCTTTCATTGGAAAGCACACTGAGTATAGGGATAGGTAACTTATGCTGCCGCTTTACAAAACTTCAGTTAGACCACACTTGGAATATGGAGTACAATTCTGGTCACCACACCACCAGAAGGATCTGGATGTTTTGGAGAGAACACAGAAAAAGGTTTACCAGGATGTTGCCTGGTATGGGGGATTTTAGTTACGAAGAAAAGTTGGATAGACTTGGAGATAACAAGGTGTAGAGCTGGATGAACACAGCAGGGCAAGCAGCAGAGGAGCAGGAAAGCTGACGTTTCGGGTCTGGACCATTCTTCAGAAAATCAGAGTTGATTTGTTTTCACTGGAATGCCGGAGGTTTACTCACTAAGTATTCTCTTCAGGGTTCTATCCCAAAACTTGTGGTCTCATACTATCACTAACTTTTTACCTAAAGATAACCCAATTTACTGTATCCTTCTCATCTCGGAAGTAATATTCTATACAGTCATCTTCAGCGAAGGACTTCCAAACTGCCGAAACCTCGAAGTAAGACTAAAAAGAAAATATTTCTCTAAGCTGAGACGGTTTCCCTTTAGCTTAAAAAGCTCTCCTAACCTTCTAAATTGAAGCTTGTTTATCTTGTTCAGTCATACAACCTGCCATGTACACAAAAGCCCATTCATTCTAAAGCTTGGCCCCACAAACTTTTAAAATAAATCACAATGGCCAGGAAAGGTAGACCCATTGTTTCAGCCTGCTCATGCCCCACAGAACTCATCTCTTCCTACCTTGACTCAGTCTTCTCCCCCCGGTCCAATCCCTACCCACATACATCCATGATTCATCTGACGCCTTACACCGGTTTCAAAGCTTCCAGTTTACTGGCTCTAGCCACCTCCTCTTTACCATGGATGTGCAATCCTTTTACACATCCATTCCCCACCAGGAAGGTCTTAGGGCTCTCCGCTTCTTCCTGGAGCAAAGACCTGAACCATCCCCACCCACCACCACCCTCCTCCGCTTGGCTGAGCTTGTCCTCACCCTCAACAACTTCTCTTTCAACTCCTCTCATTTTCTTCAGGTAAGAGGGGTTGCCATGGGTACCCGCATGGGCCCTAGTTATGCCTGTCTCTTCGTGGGGTACGTGGAACATTCCTTGTTCCAATCCTATTCCGGCCCCCACCCACAACTCCTTCTCCGATACATCGATGATATCATCAGTGCTGCTTCCCTCTCTCGTTGAGAATTGGAAAACTTCATCAATTTCGCCTCCAATTTCCACCCTGCCCTCACTTTCACCTGGTCTATCTCGGACTCCTCCCTTCCCTTTCTTGACATTTCTGGGGATAGACTGGCCATTAATATCCATTACAAACCCACCGACTCCCACAGCTACCTGGACTATACATCCTCACACCCGACTTCCTGTAAAGACTCCATCCCACTCTCTCAGTTCCTCCGTCTCTGTCGCATATGTTCAGATGAGGCCAACTTGGACAAGGTAGCCTCCGAAATGTCGACATTCTTCCTCAACCAAGGATTCCCCAGCTCCGTTGTCAACAGGGCCCTCAATCAGGTCCGACCCATCTCCCGCACTTCTGCCCTTACCCCTTCTCTTCCCTCCCGCAACGCGATAGGATTCCCCTTATCCTTACCTACCATTCCACCAGCATCCACATCCAGAAGATCATCAGACGCCATTTCCGCTACCTCCAGCAAGAAGCCACCACCAGACACATATTCCCCTCCCCTCCCTTGTCCGCCTTCCATAGGGATCGTTCCCTCCAGGACACCCTGGTCCACACTTCCTTCACCTCCAACACCTCCCCACAGTCCTACGGCACCTCTCCCTGTAACCGGCGAAGGTGCAACACCTGCCCATTTACCTCCTCCCTCCCCAGAATCCAAGGGCCCAAACATACCTTCCAGGTGAAGCAACACTTCACCTGCACTTCCAAGAATCTAGTCTACTGCATTTGCCGCTCACAATGTGGTCTCCTCTACATTGGGGAAACGAAGCGTAGACTTGGCGACCGCTTCACAGAACATCTACATTCTGCTTGCAAAAGAGACCCTGAACTATCCGTTCCTTGCCACTTCAACGCACCACCCTGCTCTCTGGTCAACATCTCTGTCTCTGGCTTGCTACAGTGTTCCAGTGAAGCCCAACGCAAGCTGGAGGAGCAACACTTCATTTTCCGCTTGGAGACCCTACAGCCCTCCGGACTCAATATTGAGTTCAATAATTTTAGGGCCCAAGCTCTCCCACGTCCCAGCCCCCCACACCGCACACCAGGCCTTGTTACCACATAGACTGCCACTACACACCCCCTGTTGTTAGTCACTGACTGTCCCTATTAACAACTACTCACCCTCCCAGCCTGATCATTAGCAACTCCTTTGTCTGTCCAACTGTCTTTCTCTCTCTTTGGGCTCTATCCTATCGTTTACTCCCTATCCCACCTACCTCCCGATTTCCTGCATATAAAAACTGACATTTTCCCAGCCACCAGCAGTTCTGAGGAAGGGTCACCAGACCCGAAACGTTAACTCTGTTTTCTCCTCCACAGATGCTGCCAGACCTGCTGAGCTTTTCCAGCAACTTTGTTTTTATTGCCTTCTAAATGTTCTGGGATGGGTTCAGAAAATTCCACCCCAACTCCAACTTAAATTGAAGATCTCTTATTATTAAACTGTGTCATCCTGTCCTAGACCCCACAAGGGGAGCAACCTTTTAACGTTCACCTTGTCAAATGCTTGCAGGATCTTGCGTCTTAAAATTACATCTTACATTTCTAAACTTCAATAAGTATAAACACAGCCTTTTCTCATAGGACAAATTTCCCTCATCCCAGTCATCAGTCAAATGAATCTTCTCTGAACTGCTTCCAATGCATTAACACCTTTTCCTCAGTAAGGAAACTAAAGTTACACAGTACACCAAAGTGCCCTACAGGCATATAGTGGTGTTGTAGTAATGTCACATCACTGGACCGATATTTCAAAAAGGTCCAGGTTTATTGCTGTGAGGGCAGAGGCTCAAATTCCTTGTGGAAGAGAAATTTATTATTAAATCAGGAATGTTTGAAAAAATGCCAATAACAGTAGGTTTACCACAGAACCAGAACTGACTGGTGCAAAAACCCATCTGGTCCACAAACGTCCTTTAGGGAAATAAATTTCTCATTTTTGCCCAATCTGGCCTACAGCAATTGGGTCCAGAGATTTGACTGACTCCTTACTCCCTCTACAAAGGCCTAGCAAGCCACGCATTCGGGTCCACTTATCTGTGAGTGAGAGGCTGTGAGGAAGGTGCATGGAGTAGTGAATATAAAGTTCACTGATGAGAATGCAGGGGGTATCATAGTAAGTTTGTGATGACACAAAGATTGACCGGGTAGTTGACAATTAGGAGGAAGGTGTTAGGTTACAGGAGGATATAAATGGATTGGTCAGATGGGCAATTCAATGGCAGACACAATCCTGATAAATATGAGATGATGCAGTTTGGAAAAAGGAACAAGACAAGGGAATACTCAATGAATGGCAGGACACTAGAAGCTCAGAGGCGTAGACTGATCTTGAGGTACTTGTCTACAGATCCCTGAAAGACAAAATCGGGATGCCTGTCTTCATCAGCCAGGGCAGAGATTATAAAACAGGGAACTCACGTCAGAGCTGTACAGAACTTTAGTTGAAGGGTCAATTACAAGTTGGCATAACTTTTGATATGAAAAGCAGGAGGTTTAGAGGGAATTTCAGGAAAAAAATGCTTTCATCCAGAAGGTAGTGGGGATCTGAAACACACTGGCTGGGAAGATAATTGAGGCAGGAAATCGCATAACCTTCAAAAAAAGGTACTTGGATGAACACCTGAAATGTCATAATATTTAAAGCTATAAGCCTAGTGCAGGAAGTAGTATATTTTTGCAGTTCAGACTTGATGGGCCAGAGGGCCTCTTCTGTACTGTATGGTTCTATGATTCTACGAAGCCATTCAGTTCAAGGGCAATTAAATGATGGACAACAAATGTTTGCCTTGCCAGTGATGCTGACATCCAAACAAAGAAAAAAGAAAAAAGAAAAAATGTGGTCCCAACAATCTTGTACAACTGTAGCAACACAGCACTACTTCTATACTTCATTGCCTTCACAATAAATGGCAAATGTAGCAATATTCAATTGGTCTTCCTCATGACTTGTTGTGCCTGCACATTAAAACTAAATTCTTATACTGCGATGCCTAGATGTCTCCGTACCTCAACAGGTCTGCAATTTCTCTCCATCTAAATAAAATGCCGCTTTTCATTCCTGCCTGCCAAAGTCTATTTTTTGGGGTAAAGGTGTTTCAGGGGTAGTTAACACTGCTCTCTCTCCACAGATGCGGCCTGACTTGCTGAGTTTTTCCAGCAATTTCTGATTTTCTTTGTGTTTGAGGGGCGATTTGATAAAACTCCAAGGGTTATGACAGATTTGAGTTCAGTAGACAAAGAGAAACTATGCTAAAGAGGGACCAGGGAACACAGGTTTGCTGTTTTGGCTTTAAGGAAATAAACTGATAGGATTAATGGAATCAAGAAGGGGAGTGGGACAGGCTGAATTACAGTGGGAGGAGCCAGTTACGGGCTGACTAGCCTCCTCTGATGTTGGAATGGATCACGCGACAATGACTTACAGATAAGGAATCCAAAATAAATTCCTCAACATCACTTTTCGGCAACTGCAGTCTTTCAGCCAAGATGTCAATAAGGTATCGATGTGCTTGATCAAGTTTCAATTTTCTTCTCTCCCTAGCTTCTCTGTGTCTTGCCTAAAAGTCAAAAGTGAAACACAAAATAGATTAATCCAACACACTTTTAAGGATACAAGCAAGAAATCTTTAACCAATACCCCTATTTTCTTGAGAACATCCTGAAATATCACAGGAGCGATATCCAGAAATCAAGAAGAAGAATAACAAAAGACAAAAAAAACCTTGGAGCCAAGACGACAATAATGTTCTTAGTTATAGTCAAATGAAGGAACCTTCTTTGTACCAACACATCCAGAATGAGCTTTGCATCTGAACCATAATGTGTTGCAACTGAAAATAAGAAAAAACAATTGCAAATAACCTTAAAGCAATTGATCAGCTATGCCTGAGAAACTGGAACAAGTGTAGTGGAATACTGCACTGTAGAAATGTAGCACTGAACCTAAAAGGAAGAATCTATAAATGAGTTGAGAGTCTGGTCTTGTTACAAGACGATAAGAAATAGGAACAGGAGTAGGCTCTCAAACCTGCTCCAGCATTCAATAGGAGCATGGCTGGTCCGATATTTCTCATGTCCAGTTTCCTGCCCCTTCCCCGTAGCTGTTGATTCCCCTACTGATCAAGAATCTATCTCAGCCTCAAATATACACAAGAACTCTGTGCCGAAACCTACCTGTGGCAATTTCCAAAGACTCTCAACCCTCTGATAGAAGAATTCCTCCTAATCTCTGTCTTAAATTGGCACGCCTCTCTTCTGGGGCTATGCCTTCTGATGGTAGACGCTCCCATGAGGGAGACATCCTCTAGCATTTACCCGGTCAAGCCCTTTAAGAATCCTACATGTTTCAATGAGTTTCATCTCTCATTCTTCTTAATTCCAAGAAGTATAGTCCCAACCTGTTTAGCCTTTGCTCATAAGGCAACTCCTCCACACTGGGGATCATCCTTGTGAACCTTCTATAAACTACCTCTAATGTAATGATATCTTTCCTGAAATAAGGGATCAAAACTATTCACGGTACTCCAAATTTATTCTTACTAACATCTTGTACAGTTGCAGTAAGATTTCCCTGCTCTTTTACCCCAACACCTTGAAATAAGGGCAAACATTCTACTAGCTTTCCTGATTACCTGCTGCACCTGTGTACTGGCTTTGTGTGTTTCATATACAAGTATCAAATCGCTTTTGTGTTGCAGCTTTCTGCGATTTTTCCACACTTAAATAAAACTCCACTATTTTGTTCTCCCAAAATGAAGAGCTTCGCATTTTCCCACATTATACTCCATTTGCCAACTTTTTCCCCCACGTACTTAATCTATCATTGTCTCACTGTAAACTGTTTGCATGGCTCTCGTAACATGCCTTTCTACCTATTTTTGGCTACTGTACATTCATTCCTTCGCCCAAGTCATTAACATATATTGTAAACAGCTGCACTTCCAGTACCGATTCTTGTGGAACCCCACTGATTACATGGTTGTAATCGGAAAAAGAACCCCTTATCCCCATTCACTGTTTCTTGCCCATTAGCTAGTTCTCTATCCACATTAACATATTACCTCTAACCCCACTGGTTCTTAGACTTAGCCCTTTGTTACCTGCCTTGTCAAACATGTTCTGGAAGTCCAAATTCTGCTGGTTCCCTTCTATCCACTTCCTTAATAATTGATTCCAACAATTTTTCCACGATAGATGTTCAACTAATTGTCCTATAGTTATTTCCTTTGTGCCTCCCTCCCTTTTTGAATAGGGGTATCACATTGCCAAGTACTGGAGGATTGGAAAGCTGCCAGAGTCCAAGGAATTACAACCAATGCACCCACTGTGCAGTTATATAGTTCTCAAGTTTCTGCACTACAATAATAAATTGGATATGAATGGAGATGGATATACAGCAATAACAATAAGATCAAAAACCAATAGATTCAAGACGCTTCAGGGCTTTAAGGCTTTAGATGCACTTAAGAAAGAAGCTGAGAAGAGTCTGAAATTTTCTGATCATCTGTCACAGAGAGGGGAAGACCATATAATGAGGTCAACGAAGGAGATGGAAGTGCCAGGAAGAAGAGGAAAGCCCAAAATCCCAAGCGCTGTACACCTATGACTGTGTTGCCAAATTCCAAATGAATGCCATCTACAAGTTCACTGAGGGCACCACCGTAGTGGGACAGACATTTAACAACGGTGAGTTAAAATACAGAAGAGAGATTGACAGTTTGGTGACGTGGTGTAATCAAAGCAATCTGTCACTGAACGTTGGCAAAACTCAAGAACTGATCATCAACTTTAGAAAGAAAGGAGAACATGCCCCCACCTACATCAACGGAACTAAGGTTGAGAGTAAAGAGCATCAAGTGAAGGAGTGACGAAACCGACGACCTGTCCTGGACTTCTCACATAAATGCGGCAGTGAAGAAGGCACAACAATGCCCCTTTTTTTTTCAGGCAGCTCAGGAAATTTGACACGTCCATAAAAAAAAAAGGTCCTTCACCAACTTCTGCAGATGCACCATTTCCAGGTGCATTACAGCCTGGTATGGCAACTGCTCTGTAGTTACTTCTGGTCCTGGGCAGAAGGTGGTGTTCGCAGCCTAGGCCATCACAGAAGCCAACCTTCCATCCATGCACTCTTGCTCGCTGCCAAAGAAAAGCAGCCAACAAAGACCCATCACACCCTGGTAATGACCTCCTACAACCTCTTCTGCCAGGCAGAAGATACAGAAGCCTGAACACATGCATGAGCAGGTTCAGGAACAGCTTCTTTCTGGCCGGTATCAGATTGTTGAATGGACTCTAGCCTCAAATAATGTCACCTGCGAGCCTCTAAGTCTTTTTGATTTGTACATCTGTTGCTTGCTGGGATCTGCCTGTACAGCTCATGAACAAAGCTTTTTATTGCATTTCGGTAGATGTGACAATAAAGTCGATCAAGATCAGATGCAACCAGGATTTGGGACAACAGTTACATTAGGGGGCTATAACAGGAGCCAGGACTCTAACTCCCAACTTCACAAACTATAGATCATTGCTAATGAAACAGATGAATAGTCATTAAAATATAATCTAAGACTTAATGGAATTTATTTCAGTGCACTTCCAGAACAGAATATATTACATTGATTCAAATCCAAATTACTGATCTATGCAAGTACACAAATATATGCCTTCCACAGATCCAAGGATAACTTCTTTGACCAAACTGTTTTCACAATAAAAAGTTGTGTCAACTAGCATGACACATCAAGAGTGACCAGATGAAAAAGTTCATTAACTGTACATAATCAAGTAAAAGTCAAAGTCAATCTCATGTAAATGTCAACCCCCTATGTTTGGACAAAAATCTGGAACTTTCCATATCTCATGCAAAAGTCGACCCTAGTTCTTCACAGGTAACAGATCAACATTTGTAAGTTGAGGTATTGTCCTGTACATAAATGTTACAGAGAGGAAATGAATTTTTTTCATGCTATTATGGGTTTTAAAATTTCTTCATTTTGTGTAAAAATGTCCTCCAGAAAAACAACAAAAAAATATACAGCAGCGTTTAAACTGAAACTTATTGAAGTAGCAGAGATCACAAATAACTGCGTAGCAGCAAGAGAATTTTGTGTTTCAGAAAAACTTGAGGCAGACTGGAGAAAGATATTGAACCAACTTCAGGCATTGCCAGAACAAAAATTTGAGGTAAACCAAGCAAGCGGCCACAATTGGAGAAAGCTGCTGAGTGGGTACTTTAAAGTTGACAAAATGGAAAAATGTGTTAGTCGTGAAGCCATCTGAATTCTTGCATGAAATAAATCAAAGAAGGGTGGAATTTTGGATTTTAAGGCAAGTGCTAGATAGTGCACAAGATTCATTAAAAGGCATGACTTAGTACTTCAGCAAAGAACTAAGATTACACAAAAGCTGCCTGCTGAATTAGAAGATATTATAGTAATTACTGTAATTCATTGTGTTTTTTTAATTTAGAAATCAATTGGGCTTCTGCTAATGATATGGTATTTTCAACTATAGCATGAATTTCAGCCCCTCAAAAATAGTCTCCATGCATTAGTCAACCCCATAAATTTAACCTTAAAAAGAAGTCTAAAAAAATTTGACTTTTACATGAGTATATATCTACCATTCTCATCTTGTCTGGCCTATATGGGACTATAGACCCACACCAATGTGGTTGACTCTCCACTGCCCTCTGGGCAAATAGGGATGGGCAATGAAAGCTGGCCTATCCAGTGACAACCACATCTTGTGAATGAATATTGTTGAATGTGGATTATAAAATCCTAAAGTCATTGCCAACCAGATCAGGTCTGCTCGGAGATTGGGGATCCACCCCGATCAAACTTGTGCTGTAGCGGGCAGGAAGATTGCTGAGAGCCTTGTGCTCCTCAGGACGATCGCCCCCATGCAGGACAGCGGGGTGGATATCTGCCTCATCAGCCTGGACCAGGAGGTCTTTGACAGGATATCACACACCAAGGTGAGAGGTGGGCTCTCTGAAATGGGCTTTAGGGAGGGAATCCCCATTTGGATCTGACTGCTCTACATCAGTGTTAGTCATGCAGTTTCAATCAATGGGTGGGAATCAGAAAGCTTCCCAATCAGACCTGCCCTCTCTCTCTTACTTTGTGTTGTATTGAGCCTTTTGTCAAATCCATCAGGAAGAATACAAGCCTGAGAGGGGTGACTATTGCAGGCAGTGGAGGTCTGCAGGTCAAAGTCTCCCTATAAACTGATGCTGTCACCATTTTGTGTTCTGATCCGCTGTCAATGCACAGACTCATTAGTATCTGCAACCAGTTTCCACTGGCCTCATGAGCCAAGGTAAATTCAGGCAAGAGCAGGGCCAAGTTCTCTGGGAACTGGGCCAACCAATCTTTTATGCCGTCACCATCAGGTTTGCTTATCTGGAGGTGCTAGATGTATGGCTGAGGGGCCAGGGGACATGCCAAAATAAAAAAACTCAGGAGAAGTGTATCACCAAAATGAAACACAACTGACCAGAAATGAGCACCACTTCCATTCCACTGCGGGTAAAAACCTGATCATCAGGGATAAGGGGTGTCATTTTTGCTGCATGTGTTGCAGGTCTACAACACTGTAGTACCCTGATCCATCTTCCACTTCACCTGGAGATCAAAGACGGACTGTGTCCACAGGGACACCATGTATAAGGCTCTTGAATGGGAAGGTGGGGATTAAAATCATACCCAATGTCACCCTCATCCTAAAGGCCACCTTTGTGTGTGGCTGTATCAAGCTGTGTATAGACCCTCAGTACGCAAACAAATAGTATCTCTATGTGAGATACTAGGAACTGTAGATGCTGGAGAATCCGAGACAACAAGGTGCAGGGCTGGATGAACACAGCAGGCCAAGCAGCATCATAGGAGCAGAGAGGCTGACGTTTCGGGCCTAGACCCTTCATCAGAAAAGGGGGAGGGGAAGGGGGTTTTGAAATAAATAGGGAGAGAGTGGGAGGCGGATAGAAGAGGGATAGAGGAGAGGATAGGTGGAGAGGAAACAAACAGGTCGAAGAGGCGGGGATGGAGCCAGGAAAGGTGAGTGTAGGTAGGGAGTTAGGAAGGGGATAGGTCAGTCCAGGGAGGACGGACAGGTCA